CACTGCCCCATTAGCATTTCTAACAGTAGAAATGGGAACCACTACTTCTGTCAACACTTGTTTTCCACCAGACGTCCCTGCCACCATTTCAACTGTCCTTGTATTCAAAGTCCCCTTGGAGAAACCTGCTTTCAGAAACAGTTAGAAGAAGGTAATAGTAAGGGGCCTCGGTGTCTCTAGGCACTCTCTAAGGAAGAGCCACACACTTTCAGCAAGTAAAATCATCTCCTTGTGGCCTCTAAGGATACTGCCACTTAATAATATAGATCCATGTTCTCAACTGTAAGCATATACAGTGATTCCAATTCTTTCTCTATGCCTCATAAGCCAGAAGAATGAGTAAGAGCCAAAATGTTCTCACCACTGCACAAAACTACATGGCAAATTCACTCACCATAAGTCTTCCCTCAGCTTCCAACATGAAACCATAAAACAGGATCTAACAAACCCAAAGCTTTGCTTACTTGAGCAGCGCCAACAGCAACACCAATGTACTACCAGGAAGAACATACACGTCGGTCACTTTAGACAATGCAGGCCAAACTTGGAATCCCTGCACTTACAGTTCACAAAAGGAAATGGAAAGGAACTGATAAAAGTACTCAAAAGCATCTAAGCCTCTAAGTCTATCACAACCAGCATGTGCTTCTACTATTTGCCTGAAGTGCTTTTGCTGCAGGTATCGGGGCCAAAGGCCATAAGCAAGTTTACTTAAGACTGGGGTGCTAAAAGGAGTGCATCCTTTACATAGTTTGTGCAGCATGCACTGTACATACAAGAAAAAGTTGAAAGATAAAATTATCTCAAGTGGAAACAACTTAATATGTTCATGTATCAATCAATTAGAATAAGAAACTTAAAAGTTAAAAACCCGTATTCTGAAAGATCACTAAACTGATATCAAACAGGATCCCAAAAGTCATAGTCAAGTTTGGCAACAGATTCTTATTAGACATCTGTAACAATTACTTGGCATAAAACTCATTTCCCAAGCTTTCAATTAACATAAAGGAACATATATTTAGAATGACAAACAGATTAGAAGTTGAGAAGAGGAAATACCACAAGTTCCTAATACTCCCTACAACAATAGGGCATGCACACATTCCTCCTGTGGGAATAAAAAGTACCTGCATAAAGTACATATATTTTATATGGTCATTAGTCTGTCATCTGCCCAAAAGAATTAAAACATTCAAAATACAAAAAAGGCACCTTTGAAATCTTATACTTATGCAAATGTCTACTCCACTGAAATAAAAGATGAAAATGTTAAATCTCTCAGAAATCACTATAATTTACTGAAATAGGTTTTTTTAAGGTTCCACATCTGAAGTTTACAGACAAGCAATCAAGTATAACTGACTTACAGCAATAATTTGACAAAAGCAATAATTTGAGAGAGTGTGTTAACAGGATTACAGATTATATAATGCGAAGTGCCAGAGCCAACCTGGAAAACTCAGATAAAAGCCTCCTGAATCTAAGCATCTTGACCAAGATGAGGCAAGATTGTTTCTCATACTAATTACTTATTCAATAACTCTTCACAGCACCTATGTGACAGAGGCAGTGCCTGGTGCTATGGCTGCAATGGGGACAAGCAGATCCGTGGCACTTGCAGCCAACGGAGGAACTCCACCACCCACATCTCTTCTCTACTTCTATAAACATTTCTTGACCTACACAACACACAGGGCACCAGTGCCAGCCTCCTCTCTTTCCTGCCTGCTGCCTTCCCCAGGGTGAAGTCTGTGCATAGGATGAGTCATAGGAGAGTTGAGGGTCTTTGAGGGTCCTTGCCTCTAACACCCCTCCCCTTCACCATCAATTCCAGCAGCAGTGGTGGTCCTCCGTCCCTTAGGTGTGCAAGGCTCAGTCCCAGTTCAGGGCCCTGGCACTGGCCCTTCCCTCCACCTGAGCCACTCTTCCTCCACATCTCCAGGATCACAGGCTTCTTCCCCTCCTTCAACTCTCAGATCTCTCCACCCCAGAGAGGCCTCTCAGGCCACTCGGTCTAAAACAGCAGACCCCACCCTGTCCCTCTGTACCGCAGCAACCCTGTTTTAGTACTTTTGCAGTACTATCACTGTCTGATATTATCTCCTTTATTGCTGTTTTGCTTTTTATCCATCTCCCCCACTTAGATGTGAACTCATTACAGTAGGATCTGTCCGTCCTATGCACTGCTATATTTTAGTCCCTAGAAAGTTTCCTGAAATATTAACAGATGCACAATAAATGCCTATTTAAGAAGGACAAATATAGACAATATTAGCAGTTTTTATATCACAATGGCAGGAACCATATAAAGAAAAAACAGAATACCTTAAATGCTAAAATATTTGATGAATTTTTTTAAAATACAGATTTTTTTTAAAAAAAGATCATCATAGCTTACACTGGTCTTAAAATACAACTCTCAAAAATAAGCACAATGGAAATACTAAAGTTCAACACTGGCTAATGTTCATACTTTACGATGTATTAGGCTCAATGTCTAGCATTAGCATTACTTCTATAGTTTAATCTTTTTTGAAAGCATGCTGAGACTCCAATTTTTCATTAAAAAAAAGGAGCCAAATATTTTTAAAAGCATCCTTCCCCTTAAGAGTTGTTAACAGCCCTTTCACAAACTGTAAAGTCTGTAACTATATTATGCCAACATTAAAATATGCAATGCTGGTGATAATCTGTGGTAGGTGGGGATTTTAGCGTCTAATGGCAAACAAGTTTTATGAAACAAACTGCCCTCCTCTTCAATTTAATCAAAAATACTAGCCTTCTCGCCACATTCAAAATTATATAAACTCGTAGGAATTTTTCCTACATATTGTTCTTAAAAACTTCTATCTGTTCCCTTCTTTCTTTTGTTGAAACAAAGAGGTTAGCTGTTACTCAAGAAACATGACTTTACTTACTGACCATCACAGCTCACACTTCACAGCAAAGATGCCAAAGATCCTTGTGGATCACTGTGAAGTTATACTAATAAAAAAGCAAACGCTGTACACTGGGAAGAAGGCACATTTATTTCCTGGAATGTGATGTAAAGAAGCAAGTTACTACTGCCTTTGGGCCCTTGGGAATAACAGAAATCCACTTAAAAACCTCAAAAACTAATGCTTTATAACAATTTCATAGCAAAATATTAGAAACGACCTACATATATCCCAATAAAGAAGAGATTAAATAAATTATGGTTCATTCTTAATGGAGTACTCAGCAGCTGTTAGAGAATGAGGCAGGTCTCTTAGGGACTGATGGAGACTGCCATGATTTAGTACTCTTTGGGGAGAAAGCTGGTGCAGAACAGAGTATACAGTGGGTCCTCATCTGTGGAAAGACAAATAAAAACACATACAAAACGCTTACATGAGCACAAGCTATGTCTAGAAAGATGTACACAAGGAGCCAGTAGCCCTGGTTCCTGGGAACTGGGCGCTGCGGGACACGGTGGGAAAGGGTTAATGCTTTCTACTCTATACCATTTTGTATCCGCTGACTCTTCTGCAGTGTGAATGCACTGCCCATCCCCATCCCACAAATTAATACGATAAATTTAACATAAGAATAATTTATACAACTATTACTAACATATTCCTCAAGGATGACCATTCAGAAGCAAAAGTATTCAAAAATCCCGAAAGTTTTGTTCCCTTCCACAGCAGAGTCCCCGATTCTCATTTCCCAGAAGAGAATCCAAGTCTCTACTAATGAGAGAGCTGCACTTGTGATCTCACCTACGACAAAGCAAAGAAGCCTCAATTCAATTCTTGGAGAGGAAATAGCTGCTCGGTGCACCTTGAAAACATAGCTCATATTTAAATTGAGCTTGTATCTCCCTAATGATGTCTCCAGATGAAGTTTTCCCCTAGCTATAAAACAGAAAGCATAAGAAACAAGTGAGAGGACAGTCTCATGTTTTTAAAAGCACAGACTACACTTAGGCTTCCTTTCCTCTGCCAGGCTTAGACAAGAAACCCTCCGATAACAGTGAAATAGATTTCAGATTTGTGGCAAAATAATCACTTAAGACGAGGGGCACGTGACATTTGCACTGGGAAAAAAAAACGCTTTAATGTTTCATTTGTGGAGGAGGAAGATTTGCTCCTTGTTAGTATAAATTTCGGCACCATTTTTAGACCCCTGATTCAATGATACTAGTAACTCACATTAGTTTTACTCCAAGCAAATTAAAAACAAATCTAAAAATGAACACAAACAAATCGGAAGGCAAACGTTAAACTGAAACTCTTCTGGTGAAATACGTATCTCAAAAGAACACATAAAAAGAAATACAAAGAACTAATTTCCATATAACACCATTCATTAACAATACATGCTCTAAACATCTGACTACATTAAACACACGCATACAAAAAGGAACACAAAGATACCCAACTGCAAATAAAAGACCTCATATATATTTGGTAGCGGAACGCGGGGCGCAGAATCCCACTATTCAAGCCCACAAGTAAATTCAGAACACCTGATGTGCAGTTTTGTGTTAGAACTCCTGATTCCAGCTTTGTGCTTTTAGACAACACATCAGTAACGGCATCTTTCACTCTGACGGTCTACACTTTAACCTTGGGTTTAATCAGTGCAGCGCCTTCGGGTGTAAGTACACAGAACACAAGTAAGTCGAACGCACTATAAAGACAGAAAGGACGAGGAACTGGCTTCAAGAGTTGTTCAGGCACAGGGGCACGAAATCACCCGGCAGGTCACATCTCCCAAGGAAATAACTTGATAGCTCCTTCCCATCCCCCAGGCAACCTCTGGCCACGGAACTCACTGCCCTCTGTGGGGCAGAAGTTCGCGGCCGGGGAGAGCCCCGGGCGCGCGCGGACCTCGGCGCCACCCGGAACAGCGCGACCCGGTCAGCCACTTCGGACCGGGCCGCCGGGCGCTCGCGGCGACGCGCCCACGGGACCCGCTCCAGGCTCCGCGCGGCTCCCACTCCCCGCGCCGCGCCCACCCGCCCCGGCACTCACGGGCCGCTCCCGCGCCGCTATCTCGCCATTCCCGGGGCCCGCTCGGCCGCCGCCCCGGGGCTGCCCCGAGCCCGCAGCCGCCCGCCCGGGGGCTGGAGCCGCCAAGGAGGGGGCCGGGCACAGCCCGCCGCCGCCGCCGCCGCCGTCTCGCCTCCCGGGTCCCAGCCTGGGCTGCTCGCGGCGCCGCGGGCCAGGGCCGGTCCGCCGCTCTCCGCGGACCCCGCGAGCCGCCGCCTGAGCCGCCCAGAGGCAACGGTACCGGCCAGGGACACCGCCACCGCCGCGGCCGAGACGCTCCGGCGCGGACTGCGGCGCGCGGCGTGCCTGCACGCCACTCGGCGGGCGCCGCGCCCGGCCCCGCCCGGCCCGCCCGCGCCGCGCCCGCGCACGCCGCCCCTGCCGGAAGCCGCCTGCGCGCCCGCCGCCCCGGCAGGCCACGCGCGCCGGCGCTCGCCCGCGGGGCCGCCCGGAGCCGCAGGATCGCGGCGGCGCGCGGGCCCGTCTCGCAAGGTCACGGAAGAGCGGAGCGGCCGAGCCGGTGCAAACCCCCAGGAAAGGCCGGCAGGGCGCGGCTCCCAGACGCTGTCACTGCGCACTGCGAACCTTGCATTGCGGAGACGGAGACGTGGGGCCGTGTGGTAGCCACCTCTGCAACTACAGTGCACGAGAAAGCCACCTTCTGCGCCTGGGGCTGGGGTGGGAAGGGGGGCTTGTTTAGATGTTAGGGTTTAGGAGTTACCTAAACCGCTCCCAAGGCCCAGGCGCTGCCGCCCAGGTCACCTTTCTCCTCGCTGGTGCAGGGCTCGCTCAGCCCCAAAGGGCACGCAGGGGTAGTCCGAGCATATCCTGGAGCCATCTAGTCTTGCCTCCAAGGCGTGGTGGGCTTATTTGTGCGGAGAAGAAACTCATCCCTTAATGGGGTGAGATTTTTTCCTCCGTGCATTGTTACCATTTCCGCAGTTTCACTTGGCCTCGGTTTTCTTCCAGAGTAATGCACCAAATGAAATTAGCTGGAGAGTGTTTGATGGCGCAGGATCATGGTTTGAAGATGTTTACGCTCTATGCCGGACGCGTTTGATGGTGTTCTCTTCGGCACAATTAATTTTGCAAAGTTCAGAAATGTGCCAGATAGAGCCCCTGGCACGCAGTCAGGGCTCTGCAGACACACCTTCAATAGGAAGCCGGCTTGTTTGTTTCATCTGTGATTTGTCTGAAGCAGTAGCGGCACCAAGGCCAACGTGTGTTTATAGAGAGAACTTTGGATGAAACCCCAAAGCAATTTATAAATTGGCAAAATGAGCATTATTTTCTAAAATAACTTTTCCCTGTTGATAATGTAACTCTAAAATGGGCAACAAAGCACCTGAAAGTACACTGATTGAAACGTAGACAAAAATATGTGTTTCACTGCAAGACCTGGTCCCACTAATGGCCGGCTCCATCCATGCGCTTATTTTGAACGCTAAAACTAACTGCTTCCTGCTATCCCTATGACCTTGCTTGGAAAACCTGTTTCTGTTTGAAACTTTTATGTATTTAAGGTGTTTACCCCCATTCTCTTGATGGTTTGGGAAATGTATCACTATTCATATTGGAGAATCCTGTAACTATCTTTCCCATTAGGCACGTTACCTAAGACCCACAATACTTTAAGGGGCCCACAAAAAATATTCTAATTTCTTTTGAAATCAGAAGGAAAAAATAAACATTTAGGTTTAAGAAAGTGTTTTAATATATATTAATATATTTGTACTAATGAATCTTAAAATATAATTTGTTAATGGAGTAAGACACCCAACAAAGGCAAAGGTGCCTATGGCCCAAGAAAAACATGATGTGGCCCTGTGTGGCCTGGGGTTGAAAAATTGCCTCCCATGAAAAAATGTTTCAGTTTTAAGCATATTACATAAAAGGTTGGCTTCTGTGGCCTTGTTTTGTGTGTGTGTGTGTGTGTGTGTGTGTGTGTGCGCGTCAGAGAGAGAGAGAAGGAGATGGAATCATCATGGCTAACATACACTATATACACACACGGTGTACCAGGCATTATCCATTACCTCTTTCAATCCTCACAACATGCCTGTGAAATAGATACTGTTCTCTTACCTAGGAGCTGATGCATATTTGTGGGGCCTGAAATTTATGCAGTTTGGGTGGTCCTGTTAAAGAAAAACAAACAAAAAAATATAGCATGCCCGGGCTGCTCCAGTACCACCCCACAGAAAGGGAAATGACAGAAGGAATGTCCAAGTGGAAAGAGACCTGGGTCTCAGCTGATTGTGGTTACAATATCTTACTTTTGCAAGTCGTACAAAAACATATGACCCCGTGAATGTACTGCTAGAAAAGATGCCTGGAATCTTAGCCTTTGTGTGCTTCACAGAAAACCTGCCTCTGATGTAGACTCATTTCACAGATAAGAAAGTTGGGAATTTGCCACAATGTTCCTTCTGAGGAACACCATATGGCCCACTCCATACAGAGGTTTGAAGAGTTGTGGCATACACACTTTTCCATGAGAAATAACAGATTTTATATTTCTATAACAAAGCAAGGCTTTAAAGATATGTTAGCAATATTTGGGTTATGAGCAGGCTATAACCCAATTTGGTGCACTTGACTGCTGTCTATGCTATCAAGAGTAAATTTTTCTTATCTATTAGCTGTTATGGATTCTTAAAGGGATTTCAGCTCAATTTCAAGTGCCTCAGATTGACACTATTTTTATTTATCTTGTTATAGACCAGTCTATATTGTAAATACTATTTTGTGAAATATTTTCCTTTTGCAATTCATGAGTGTTGCAAAATATGTATCAGAACAAGAATTTGTTTTGTTTGATGCTTATATAATACAAAGAATCTTATATCTATAAATATTTGGCCAACACATAAAATAACAAAATAGAAAAGATCACATAATTAGAAGTGAAAGTATAGGTTATGTAACAAGCTAAAATTGAATGGGAATAAAGTAGTAAGACATTGAACTGCCAGTATTTGCTGGATAAGCAGAACTGGCTTCTTAGTTAATTATTTTTTGCTCAAAATTTGTGCTTTTCCCAGCTGTTAGCTGTTTTCCCTGCTTTTCTGTTTGTTCATTTCTTTTCTTTTTCTTTCTTTAAAAATGAGATTTCATTTGAAATGCTGACGTGTAAAATAATATTCAAGTGAAACAAAAATCATACTCGCACCTGTAATGAAAGTTCTAGAAATGAAAGGCTTTGTTTTTTGAAAGGATCAATCACTCAAAAAAAAAAAAAAAAGCAGCAAACTTGACAAAATGGGGGACTTTGTTATTAAATTACCTATATCTTGACCCTTAAAACAGGCTTCTCTTGATGTGTGCTCCTATATGTATAGCATTTATCAATCAGTGGGACAAGATATGGCTATGTTCCTGAAAGGAATTTTGGAACCAAATGAAAATCTACAAATTAAGCATAGGTATTAACCAATGAATAACTAAAATGAGTGCAACTATTCTTCATTTTAAGCCTGACTGATAAATGTAGACTTAAATTGGTTTATTTTAGAGCACAGTTTTGGATAAGATTCAAGACTTTAATTAGATTCCCGTAACAAGAAGACATATAAGAGTGATCAGCTAATTTTCTCTAGATTTTATGTTCTTTATACAAAGTAGTTTCAAATTCTATTTGAGGGGCATGAAAAATGTGATAAACACCATATAAAAAAGAGTGTCTTCCGAGGATTCTGTTTGGAATATTCTGTCTCAGATACAATGATTTCAGGGTGTTATGTAAAAATAATTTGATAAATTATTATATTTCTTGCATAGCCCCAACAGGATTGCACTTTATTTGTTTTTTGTTTATTTATACTGTGCCTTCTTCCAAAAAAGACTTAAGGTGGTTTACAATGAAAGGCAAATATTAAAAAAAAAAAAGTTGAAGTTCTGGCTGAGACAAACAATAGTATTTGAACATAAAACTTAGCTGCAAGCTTCCTCTTAGCAGTGAAATAGGGGAAATGAAGGTTTTCTTAACTCTCATTGTCTAGTGGAAGAAATCATACAGTTTCATTTAGGAGAAAGTCTTTCCTGGCCCAATCTCTCTGAGAGGAACTTGCCATAAGGGTCCTTGTATGAGAGGTATTTAAATATCTAAGTTAAGAGGGACACTACACAACCATTTTTGCTATCTTTTGGTGGCTAATATATTTTTCTGGTGAATAATTTTAAAATTGCTATTGTTGAAAGTAAGTATTAATAATACAACTGCTACAGAGTTTTTTTTTTTGTTGTTGTTGTTGTTGTTAATACTGCCTTTGAGGTCAGGCCAAGGATGAATATCAAATCTTGGTTTTCCTAGTTACTTTCTCTATAAAAAGGGATTATTAAAAGTATCTACATCCTAGGATTGTGGAGGGACAAAATGAGATAATTTCTATAAAACCTCTATTTCTGTTAAGTGTCAAATTTGCTATTGTTTTCCTCAGCCAGAGTTTGTATGTATATTTTTCCCTCCTCTCTTAGAAGTTGTCTTTTTATGTAGACCACCTTGAATCCCTTTTGGAAGAATACACGCGTATATACCGGACACAGAGTAAGCAATAAATATTCACTGCAAATGTTATCATTATTATGATTTCTACCACTACTAAATCAAAGCAAATACACGAGCTCCCTTTGGGGGTCAGGGTGATAGCGCGGTGGTTATAGCTTTCCATTGTCCTTAGTAAAGTTTAGAAGATTACAAGGAGTAAATGGGTATCACTAGGATACCAATAAAACAGTCTTTGTTCCCGTTGGTTCCCTCCTGTTGTTTGCCATCATCTGTCTTTGTGACTTCACTTACTTGTTTGATGTGAGGAATACTGAGAAAGGGCACTTTCCCCCACTATACTAATATTTGGTTAACCCCCTAGATCTCAGAGATGTGTCACTTTCAAGAATCTTGTTACATTTCTAAATGCCGCAAGCTGTTATAGCTAACTCCTGAGCCAGAGTACCAGGAATGTGGAGAGAGCCAGAGTACCAGGAATGTGGAAGAAGGGAGGGGACAGCCCTGGTGAACCACCTCTCTCTGGAGTGAACCCTGCCCGTCCCCATGCTCTGTCCCCTCTCCAAATGGAATCTTCATGTCACATATCCATGCTCTTCCTCTCACTCAGCAGCCTTCTCCTTTCCCTTCCTGCCTCTGACTCTACCCTACCTCACTCTCAGCTCATGGGCCTCCATCCCTTTACCTTGACTTCCTCCTCCTTTGACTCGCCAAGCTCATTCTCCTCTGTACCTGCCTTTCTTTCCTCCCCGTAATCTTTTATCTGTGGTCCAGAATGATTTAGGG